CTGAATCCGATTGTCTCTGTCTTTACCAAGGAGGTAGTTGAGTGCATTTCTGTTCTGGGAAGGACTGAATGTCCTGGTCTCCATGGCAGTCAGTGTTCAACATGTTGTGAGCCAAGGTGATTAAGTGAATGTAGCTACTGGGGGCTTAGTAACCCCCTGAAATATTCTGAGGGAACACAGTAGTCAGCTAGGACAATGATGACTCAAGATTGCAAGCAACTGTGATTCCTGCTGTGCAAAGTACAAATGGGAGCCAGTAATCAATGAGCTAATTAATTAGTGAATTAATGTTGATTGTCTCCAGAGTAGGCCCCAGGGAATTAGACTTACGGTATCTTCATTTCCTCTGTTGCCTGCTGGTGGAGTCTATGATGGAGAATGGGGTCATTGAAGATCTAAATGTAATTCTCTGAGAGGTAGTAACATGGTCTGGAAGGCAAGAAATCATGCCCTAAACAACCCATTGCTTTGCTTTGTTTTTTATTTATCTGAGAGGCAAGGACACAGAGAGATGGGGCACTCCATTTGCTCAAATGCCAGTGATAACTATAGCCGGAGTTGGGCCAGGCCAAAGCTGTGAGCTGGACACTGAACCCAAGCCCCTCAAGTGAGCAGCACTTGAGCCATCATTGATGCCCCCAAGGTCTGCATTAGCAGGAAGGTAGTGGCCAGAGCAGAGCTGGGATTTGAACCCAGGCACTTCACTTTGGGATGCAGTATCCCAAGCCTTATCTTAAACACTAGGTAGGTCAGGTCCCTCCCCCTCCCCCTTTGAATTTTGAAGACGCAAATGAGGAACTTGTGAATAGAAGTTTGATTTAGACATTCTTTTCAGCGCCCCACTATTGCACAGTTGACTTCATAGGCTCTGGGCTATCACTTGCACACTAATGGGATTGACAAAGATGGATTAGGAGTAAGAGAGAATTTCTGCTGCAGGTAGATGAAAGCTAACTCCCCAAGGAATGGGTCCTCACATGGATCTCTCCATGAACACGGGCATCATCTGTCAGTCGCTGCCAGAGGTTCCTCACAGTGACATCACCCAGTCGACATTATTTGTGTTAAGAGAAACTCAAGCCAAAGAGGGTGAGCTGCTCACCCCTTTACAGATCTGTAGAACGTGGGTTAGGTACAACACAGGTTGCATGGGAAAGGAGTGAATCTGTGATTAGATAGCACAGAGGCACGAATCTGGGTATTCTTACATAGGTCTGGGAAATTGACGTTACATCTCAAAGACATCTATTTACCCACTCATCTCTTCCCCCTCTTCTTTGCCCTGCTTTCCTGTTTTTTCCTCACAAAAAAAGCAAAGACACCTCTCAGAAAACACAGCTGATGCGCGAAGGGACCGTCTGGAAATAGACTTGCCGTCTGGTCACTGGGGCTCAGTCACTCCACACTGTGGACAGAGTTTTGTGTTTTTGGAGCTCAGGTGGCTGCCTTGATTACAAAGCCATGTTTTGAAACAGGCTGTTTTTTCAAACAGTTCTCAGAAGGCAATCATAAAAGCTAAAATCTCGAACAAGAGGAGCAATTATTTTTGCTATTTTTATGAACTATGTATACAACTTTTCTTCTATACTAAAAATACAGATAATTTAAAATTACTTTTTCTCAACTGAAATTTAACTTTTTAAAAATGAAAAAAATTGCACATTTAAACAAGGGTAATGTCATTCTTTATTGCAAATTGAGTGTGTCAACAAAACATTGCCACTCCAACAAATGCAAATCTACTTTGTTCTGTCTCACATTAACCTCTGGTGAAAGGTATTCACTGTTTTTCTTCCTAGGATCATTCATTATAGCTTAGTTGTTGCTGATTGTAGATGCGGCCTTATTAGCCTATAGCTGGAAGATTTAAAGCTTGATTTGTCTCCATTTGATTAATACTAACATATCTTAGATAAAATTTATTGTGCAAAGACTTTGGAGGGTTTAAGAAAGCAATGAACAGCAATGTCTCCATACCATTAACAGCATACCAAACACTCCATTCCTTCTCACATGACTGCCTACGAAAACTTCCTTGTGTTAGCATTTCAGAGCAGCAAGGGCTAGGTTTGACTTTATATATGATATATTTCTGCCTTGAAATGGGGAATTCACAAAGCCGCTTAGTTGAGAATCAAATTATATGTTGCACCTGTCCACATCAAATTGTGTGTGTCTCTGTCCTGCCCTCCTGTATTTATTTCTCAAGTCTGCCCCTACATACAGCTTCACCAAGTCCTTCTTAAGTGCAAAAGGGCACCTTCCCAATCTGCTCGAAGCCTTCTGTGCCGAATGATAACATCGAGCTCCCTGAACAGACATGACGGATTCATCTTAGTCTGTTCCTTTCCACATCCTTCAACCTGGGGATCCCAGCCCTCACCACATACGCTCCTGCAAAGGGGGCTGCTGGTATACTGAATCCACCATCCATTCGTGAGCCACCTTCAGAGTGGCAACTTACTACAGTTCCCTGCTTGGAAACACAGTCCCCTCTCTGCTCTGACCTCACTAATTCAAATTCAACCTCTCATTCAAGCCCAAGATTCAGTTACATTTCCATTACGTGACCGATCGTCTTCAGACATCAGTACTCAGGTTTCTTCTGTAAATATGTAAACGAGTCACTTTTAATGTCTAACTTGATAAAATAAGGCAGTGTTTTTCCCTAAGGACTTGAAGGCGTAACTTAGCAACCATCAAAATGTTCTCATACAGAGCAGAGTATCATGGATATGAAGATGTACAGAGCATGTTCCAAAGTAGCCAGGCATCACCATTGTCTTGCACTGAGTTCACAACAAAATAACCATTTAAAAATTTAATGAAAAGGTTTATATTGGTCTGAAATAAATGAAGACTAAGTGAAATGTTTCACAAGATCATAAAGAGTGGAATATTTAATCAGATTTTTTGAAATACAGAAACGACCTAGGCTGACTCTTGGTTTCTTTGCTTCGTTCCCTCCCACCCTCTCTCCCTTTTGTCTTCCATCCCCTTCCCTCTCTCACCCTGCTTGCTCTTCCCTACCTTACCCCACACTCTCTCCCTCCCCTCTTCTTTCCTCCCTTCCCTCCTGCTTTCCTTCTTTTGAGAGTTTCAGCATCAAATATAGGAGAATTTTATAGTATCCTGTAACACACAGCTATTAGAAATGATCATATCCTGATTTTATCTATTTGACAGTAAAAAATACCCAAATTATTTAGATCCCTGCTAAACAAAGTTACAATTTGTGTCTATGCTCAGGCTGGAACGGTTGACTAGAAATCAAAATATGCTCATTTGTCCAAGAAAGTCATCACGTGCCCAAAGAAACTTGGATTAGAGTTGTATAGAGGACCTTGATGCCAAGGGGACCAGCTGTGCTTGCAGAAGGGAATGCTGTTTAGAAGTTGAGGGGCTGGTGCTGAAGCGCAATGGGTTAAAGCCCTAGCCTGAAGCACCGGCATCCCATATGGGCGCCAGTTCTAGTCCCAGCTGCTCCTCTTCCAATCCAGCTCTCTGCTATGGCCTGGGAAAGCAGTGGAAAATGCCAAGTCCTCAGGCACTTGCACCCACATGGGAGACCTGGAGGAAGCTCCTGGCTTCCTGGCTTCAGATCGGCGCAGCTCCAGCCATTGTGGCCAACCAGCGGATGGAAGACCCCTCTCTCTCTACCTCTCTAACTCTCTTTGAAATAAATTAAAAAGAAAAAAAAAATCTTTAAAAAGTTGAGAGCAATGTCAAAATAGAGCTTTTAAAATTTTTTTTTTTATTTTTTGATCTTGAGAGAGCAATTAATGATTATATTGCTTGAGGGAACTATGATGACCCAGAACTTCAGAACACTTCGGGAAATGTTCTGATATATCCTAGGTCACATTCCTAATAATGAGGTTAAATGGAGGGTTTTTTAGTCTGCACACACCACTCTTTCAATGCTTTGCGTGAAACATCTATGTGGAGACACTCTGAGCACCAGGGGTCTCCCACAAAGAGCGTGGCATTTGTAGGACTCCGTAAAACCGGCAAGACAGGAACTCTCTCCATGGATGAGCCAGGCAAGAAGGTGACAGGGAAACTGTTGCCAGTCAATGCCTTAGGTTTGTGAGACACTCAAAACCACAAGCATAGCAAGAGGTGGAGTTGTGGAATCTGGAGCAGTTGGGGAGTTTCATTGGAGTAGATGATGGGAGGACAAAGAGATGGGGACCCATGTACGTCTCCAGTAGTTTCACCAGGCTCCCTTACAACCTCACACGGTGCTGTGCTTACAGGGAATGGTTTAGTCTTTACTTCCTTCTGTATTCATTTTCTCTGTTGTCCAAAATTATCATAGGAATTAGTATAATTTCCTGAATGTTTTCTATTTCATAAGATTTTGTGTCAGGTATAATAATGGTGTATCAAAGGTAGATCCCTTTAGTCATCCTAACTTTAGAAGCCCTTGAAAGAGATTAAGAAGTGATCATCATTTACATTTATTATACTTTGCATGTAACGAGCTTTAGCTATTAACTCTAATTTGCTTCTCATCGTATTCATCAAAGATGAACTATTTAGAAACTAAAACATCTCTGTCAGTTAGAATTTTAATGAATTAAGATGAAATGAGATGGTGTTAATTGGCAGTTGGTGCTGTGGGGAGGTTTCTAGAACTTGTAAGTGAAACCAATTCATCTCTCTATCGGGGTTAATTTGTTTGATTTAACTCTAAGGATACACTGACTATTTCCCCCAAACTATTCATATTTATTTCCTGAAATGACGAATGGTTTAGTTCTGTGACTCTTTCATTTGGATTCTCAATTTTGTTAGAACTTGATTTTGATTGTTAACAAATGGTTGGCTTTAAGCAGTATTTCTGTGATGTACACAACCATACATGCATGTACACAGCAAGTAGCAGCATTACTTGGACTTTGTATCTAAAATGCCCCAAACTGTCCAATATCTAAGCTTTTTTATAATAAACAACTTATATAATTTTTATATAATCTCCTCCTCTGTTTCCTCAGACATAAATGAATGTGAAGCTGAACCTTGCAAAAATGGTGGGATATGCACCGACCTTGTGGCCAACTACTCCTGCGAGTGTCCGGGTGAATTTATGGGAAGAAACTGCCAATATAGTAAGTACTTAACTATAATTGTATTGATGTAGCCTCTGCTTATTATGGAATCTGGGCCAAAGTCATTATCATTCGCTTCCAGAGTACATAGTTGGAATGGCGCATCGTGTTTGTTGTTACTGGTGTTCACAAATCCTCCAGGACCTGTGTCAGTCAGTGCACAATTTACATAGCCATTGTATCTGGCAACCTGAGAAGGACAGTTCTTCACATGCCCTAGCTCAGCTCTCCCAGGAGTCTCATGTTTGCATTGTCTGTATGTGTATGACCATGAGAATGACATGGGCTAGATCCCAAAGAACAGCTGGAAATAAAGGATCCTCCAGTTGACCTCACACACCCATCAGCAGGAACTTCATACTCAGTCTGTTTGTCTTCTTGGAAACCTGAGAATCACTTTCCCACTCTACCTTCTTGAACCATGACCCCTATAAAATGAAATAAGGAATATTGTTAAATAAAAACCTAAAGGTTTTGAAACGTTGCATGGAATGATAGAGCAATTACTTGTGTAAAGTGTATACAGAGAAGCAGAAAGTAGGCCCCCTTAAAAATCAAAAAAACTGGAGCAAGCATTAACAGGACTAGAATCGGTAGATGGGCTTTAAAAGAGGCTGAAGCACCTGCTAATGAGAGACCCAGTGATAGAGTGTTATAATTGCTGGGCACCGTGGAGACTTCCTATGCAACTGCCTTGATGCATATGATGCTATTTAAGCATCACAATATCATGCAAATCCAAAACGCAGAAACAGGTGAGAATTTAGATGCAAAAACAGGGCCACATGTGGGATGTGGTCTTCCCAGGCTCTCGCAAAGAGTGACAGGAAACAGGTATTCTGATGGCCAGGTGGAATGTTTTCCTCTTAATCAAGGTACATCTTCAGATGGAGATGAACACATGCTACCAGTCCTCCCTCCTGCTGGCTCACTGACTCTGAAACGTTAACAGAGTCCTTCATTGTCAGTCATAAGAACAGTTGTATTTCTCATACTCCCTCTCTTCCTTCCCCTTCAACCATGGTCTTAATAATAGGGAATTTTGTTGAATAATTTGTTATGTATGTAAAATGATAGACTTAAAGCAACATAGTGATCACCCTAATCCTGAAAGACTGCAGTAAAATAGCTAAAGTCTGACTATCAAAGACAAACCTTTGTTGGGGGAAAATACTTATCAAACTTAAAATAATTGGGACAGTGCAGTGACTAGGACAAGAAAGCTGCAGGACACAGCTGTGTGGAAAGGGTTGGGTAAACCAGTTGACCCTAAAGCCAGCTGGACCCACATCAGCTATGATTTTGTAATTTGTTCATGAAGTATCACACTTAGCATTTGCTAAGTGAACTCCAAGTCAGGTTCACCTGCTGCCTTGGGCTCAACACTTGAATCCTTCTTTGCTCTGTTTCATGGATTTGAAGATGGCTACCCCATCAGCCCTGGAAACTGTGCTTAAAAAAAAAGTACCATCACTTCTCAGCCTTTTGGCTAAGATTAAGTGTAGTATCTGTTCGTATCAGTTTAATATCTGATACATCCTCTATCCAAGGACTAAAAAAAACCACCAAAATATTTGCAAATGAATAGCTTCTTAATGTGATGAAAACAAAAAAAAAATGGATGCCAGTAATTTTCCAGTAATTATTAGACTTTCACGAAACAAAAGCAGAGGTCTGGGTTCAGCACTGAGCATCCTTCAGGCAGCCTGGAACTCTGGCAGGGCTTAGCCCAGAGCCTAGGGTACAGGATGCTCACAGTGGCCAGGGATGCAATTCTAGGGGGAGATCGTCCAGTTTCTGAACGGGAGCTGTCTAGGAGGTACATTGTAAGACAACTGCTTAGGGCTCAGTTCCACTTTGAGGTGGTCCAGCCCTAGCTCTCTGAATGAGCTCATGAAGTGGTGGGTGTTTAAGGACATAGACTTTCTTGAGACCCCAGGGTGTCACTGCAGGGTGTGGAAGAATGAGAGTGGGATCACAGTAGATGAGCTTGGGGATGAGGAGCCCAAGAGACACCTTCCAAGGCCATGCAGGAGGAAGTGCTGTCCCTACTCTGCAACTCACAAGCCCCGTGCTGACCAAGGAGTATCTGGACAGCCAGTTAGACACCAAGATACTGGAACTGAGAGAAGGCCTGGCTGGAAGTTGGGTGTGGAAAGCAGTAGCTGAAACCTGTCCATCCCTCCCATCAGAGACTTGCTGACAGCACCAAATATGGGTACAGCTTTGACAAAGGAAGGAAGTCAATGCTTCACGGAGGGGCATACGGATGTGGACGTTCAACCTGATTGCCAGTAGTTTGCTCATAGTGTCTTCCAGCCAATGCTTGATGTTGTGCATAGCTTTGTTTGTACATGACTTATGTAGACTGTCTTCTCTTTGAACGTGGACGTGCTAGTGAGGTTCTGCTATCATGCTGTTACGCGCTCTGGGATCCTAGCATTTGCTCTCTCCTGTCTCTGGCATGGCAGAGAAGCAGAAAGAGTCACAGCGGGTAAACTCTACAAACACATCCCTATTAGGCTGTTTGATTTTATTGACTACAATATATAAAGCTATAGAGTGATTTAAGAATTTTTATACTCCCCAGTGGCTAGATTTGGGAGGATAAGATTCTGGCTTTTTTTTTCCCTTTCCTGTGGATTCTTAGAGTTTGTATAAAACCCAGAGTAAGTACATCATGCATGGGAGATTTCATTACCCACAAGGAGAGCTTACACAACTCACTCGCTCCAGGGGCCACATAGAAGCACCTGTAGGTTACAGGTGGCCCCAGCTCTAAGTGACTTGAAATCAGGGTCTTTGGAAGTGACTGTTAGCTAGATCGTTACCAAGGTTCTCAGTTCTGTCCTGGAATAAAATCAATCAGCTTTCTCCTGGGCTTTGTGTGGTGTCCCGGAGGACTGCCCTCGAATTGGCTTAGACTGCAATGCAGGAAGGAGAGGGAAGGGAGAACGGTGGAGATGTGCTGATGGGGTCCAGAGACACCTGGACTGAAAAGCACTTCTGGTGCACACAGATCCAAGGAACCTTCAGTTCCTGTAGTCACAGCTGCTTACCCTATTGCATGTCTGTCTGTCTTTATTGACAGTTAAACTGTGCCACAATGTGTTGAGCTGAATTATCATTTATTTTAAAATGAAATCATTTTGTTTAATATTTATTTGAAAGGCAGAGATACAGAGAGATGGAGAGAGAGAGGGAGCAAGGGAAGGAGAGGGGGAGAGAGGGGGAGGGAGATGGGGAGAGACAAAGATGTTTACCATCCGCAGGTTTACTCCCCAGTTGGCTGCAATGGCCAGGGCTGGACCAGGCTAAAGCTGGGAGCCAGGAGCTGCTTCTAGGTCTCCCATGTGGGTGCCCTTAGGCCATCTTTCACTGCTTTCCCAAGCATATTAGCAGGGAGCTGGATCAGAATTGGAGCAGCTGGGACTTGAACTGGTGCCCGTATAGCCAGCATTGCAGGTGGAGGCTTAATCTTCTATGCCCAACTCTGGCCTTGAAATCATTTGCGACATCTCCTAAAATGTAAATTGAAGATTGTTGAAGAATAGAACTGACTGAAAAAATTGTACAAAAATAGTAAAGTATAAAAGATAAAAATAGAGAACTATTAACAATAACCACTAGCCTTCATTTATTAAATCCTAACATTGAACAGAATTATGACCAGGGAGAAACATGTGGCAATATCATAACAAGCACCTTCCCACAAGAAAGTAACTTGATACAGTATCCGGGAATTGTGATCTTATTCTGCTTTCTATCTTGTGTTTTCAAAAATAGGCCTACACTTGTGTTTCCTTTGTATTCTGAAAATAATAATTCTATGGGTTCTAGAAGATGTTGTGAAAGCTACTCTTGGAGAGCATAAGATACGGGAGAAACTCGCCCCTGACCATGGCTTTCCTGCACCTCCTTCTCTTGCCTTGTGTCTCTGCCTTCTTGTTTCAAGGAGTGAAAAGTGGCAGCAAGAAATAGAAACTAGGTGAACAGAAATGGGTGACCCACTGAAGAGGAGCAAAATGTGAATGGCAAACTTCAGAAAGAATTCAGGAAAAGGGTGCAGGCTGGGAAGTCAGGGCTCCATAAATAGGAGGCCCACAGGACTCCAGCTCACACATGCTCACTTGGCACAAGTGCGTACATACAAATACATGCATTCACACATGCACATTCACACTTGTGCATGCAATCACATGTGCTCACGCATAATGCACACACTCACCATGTGTGCTCACACTAACGCAGGCAGTCACACACACACAGTGCATGGGCTTACTTGTGCAATCGCACACACCATGCATGCTTACATTAATGCAGGCAATCACACCCCATGCGTGCTCACACTAATGCAATCACACAGAACATGTGTGCTCTCACTCATGAGGGCGGTCCCACACCATGCTTGCTTACATTAATGCAGGTAATCGCACACTCACCATGCATGCTCTTGGTAATGTAGGCGATCACACACACACCCTGTGTGCTCTCTCTCATACAGGTAGTCACACACACACACACACCATGCATGCTCATTCTTGTGCAGGCAGTCACACACCATGTGTGCTCCCATGAATGCAGTCACATACAGCATGTGTGGTCTCACTCATGCAGGCAATCACACACACACCTTGCATGCTGTCACTCATGCAGGGAATCACACACACACATACACCATGCATGCTCACTCTTGTGGGGGAATCACACACACAACATACCACACACACATCCTGACATTCGTGCATGCAGTCATTACACACATGCACACACTAAAAACATCCAGGAAGGAATCTGCCCTTAGTTTTGGGCAAAACTGATAAAGTGAAGGTGGTGACAGATTTTTGGAAGACTGCAAAGCTGCCACTGTAGGACGTCCCCAGGAGGTGCTTCCCTGCTTCTGTGTGTGCTCCTCACTGCTCTGTCCATCCTCAGTCCAGCTGCCAGGGGGAGCCTGCTGGGTAAAAGGTCAGAAGGCAAAGTCTCACCAGCTTCTAGAT